TGAAATCTGCTATCACTGAACATGAGTAAGCTGTTTCGCTCAGAGTGCGACAAGGCGAGCATGAACAGACTTTCTCAATCTCGCTCAGTGTGTCAAGCGCGTGAGAAGACAGTGACAGAGAAGACCGAGTGATGGGGATAAGCCTCGACCGTGCGCGTAAGAATTTCCAATAAGCACGAGTTTGTCACCATCAGACATAATATTTGAAGACCCGATAATTTTTATGTGAATATATCATTCATAATGAAACATGCTTTGTTTTACTTGGAGTAAATCCGCCATTGCAATTGTCAACTATACAAAAAACTCATCGGAGCTCCTTCTCAATCCAATAAACGACGTTTATTGGATATGAGATAGCTCCGATGTACTGAACGTCTATCCACGACCCTTTATTTCCTTTACGAAAGTAAAGGGTTTAGATAGACGTTCAAAACAATGCGTAGTTGACAATTGCAATGGCGGAAGTATTACACAGTAATACACACACGTGTCAGTCTTTCATCCCAATTCAAATTTAATATAACGAATATATGAAACGTGAGTGATACTTGTAACATATACGCGAAGTTAAACACGAGTGGTAACATTTATAGTACATTATGAAGAGTGGTTTTGAATGAAAAGATCAATGTAATTTTGCATCACTGAGAAATATTGTTTTCGGGACTCGTACAGTTGTACTGAGAAATCGCACATAGTATTCCGGAGATACTTCCGGGTATAGGATGCATTCTGTTAAAACGTGAGCGCTGCTTCGCATGAGGTTGCACTAGAAGACTGAACTGGGAATAAATGACGCAGAACAACGTCGTCTGCACAAATCCTTTAAAATATCCTGATACGTATTCACCAAAGTTTGTCTGTGAAGATTTCGTTCTCCCATTCTATGTATAGTTTTGGGTGTTATTATTTACACATCCCATTTGTGCGAGTTAACACAATAAACCACAAGTATCATTTACATACCATCTATGTTAGAATGTCACTCTCAATTATGTAAATGCTACATAACACCATATGTTATATAGTATTTACATGATTGAATGTAACGTTCTAAAATAGATGACATGTTACTGATACTTGGTGTTGGCAGAGAAAGGCAAATTTACGCGTTAAATCTCGCTTTCCACTGTGTGAAAGACTTTTCATAAAAACATTGTGCAAATGCATGCATTATTGCAACTGTAAATACAGTAGCTGTAATATCTTTCGTGTATTTTAATATCGCATTTTCTTTGTTTGTATGTTTTGTCTGCATGACGCTTGCATGACATTACTATTCCCTTTATGTTTGCTTCTTCCTTTCCTTACATCCTACCATTCCTTAGAAAATATAAACCAATGTCAAATAATTCCATTTCATAAGTGACTTATTCGACATTTGTTTATCATTTCCTCCTGAGGGAAGAAACCACCACTTTCTCGCGGTTTCCATCGAGCAGTAATGTGAATTTACATATTTTTTTTACTAAAACCATTAATATACGCGACACAGTACATGTTTTTAAACACTGATTACTTACTTAATTACTAATAATTACTTTATTAATAGTTTTTCATTCTTCATGCATGCACAATACCACTGCAGTACTACATGCATAATGCATTTGCTTCATACTTTGGTATCATCGCAAGAAGAATGTTTACTCTTTTTCCAACTTGATTCTATCCACGTTGCTGGCAAAGAGTGGGTTTCCTAAACTGTATGCTATAACTGTATACTGTTTTTCATCTATTTACGGTGATTTTTCACAAACAATTCGTTAAACTTCGTGTCATTTAAATACAAACATAGTATTATTATATTTTTATTGAGTGGTGCACTGAACACTGAACTCAGAGCGCTGTCACTTATTTGGAATGGTCCACTTATTTCTCTTAAACAGATTCATTGGATTAACAGTTGTGCTGTTCGACACTGCATCGAAAATACATGGGAAAACCGTTTCGCAAACAAGTGAATACTGTTACGTCCTGGAGGAGGAACGCAACTTGACGCTTGCTTTCGCAAGCTCCGACGTACTCGCAAGTCTGCGGTGCAGATCAAGGATCGGAATGACCCCTTTATCTGGCGCGGACATACGTCGGTGGTCCTTTATTTAGGTCAAGGAACTGAATCCTTTTACCTGGGATAGGACCGTGAGCGACGGTTGAGGAAAGGGAGAATTTTTTGGTTGAGAATAATTATTTGGAAACCGTGATTGGCTTACAATTACAAGCTTGTTTTATTAGTAATTAGACGGATGTTCACAATGAAATAAAATTTACAAGCTTTTATAATGTGTACGTATATATTATATATATGTATAAACAATCGCGGTCTGAGCAAGGATTCTTGATTACTCCGAACAATATTCCAATAGAGGAAGATTTAGTGACGGAGAGACACGAGGTGAGGGGGAAGATCGCGATAAGGATACTTCTGAGGGAGAGGGAGAACGAATAGGTATGAGGCCCCGTAGTAAGGCCGCGTGGAAGCCTCGCGTGCCTCCTCGTAGAGGAGAAGTTAGAGGGGAAGATGTCAGAGATGGGCTCCAAGATAGAGGAGAGCTTGAGGCAGAACGGTCGTCTACTGGACTCAAGATGTTGGAGAGTATGAGATAGGAGGAGTTACTGGGGAAAAGTCAGGAAGGAACATAAGAGGAAAATGCGCAGATCTTAAAATGTTCGATTCGTTATGGCGGATAACATAATCTGGACGATCTTGTAATACAAGTATTAAAGAGGCGACCTCAAAATCCTCGCGGTTTGTATAGTTTTCCGTGGTGGTTATCTCTGACTGTGATTGAAAAGATTGAGCCACTGAAATCGGATTTAACAATTAAGCAGGGATGCCAAGGGGAATAGGGAGAAAAAGGAAACAGGAGGACAAAGAAAAGAGAGAAGAAGAAATAAGAGAATAAAAAGAAAGGGGTCACTCTGACAAAGGAAAATATAAATAACTTACTGCTGGTTCTATGATGCGAATCGACTATGAAAAGTGTAATTGCTGCGTGTCGATGAGGATAGACCCAAGTTGCACCAAGAACTAGAAACTGGTCTCAACAGGATCTCTCGCAATGTCTCAAGGATGCACGAAATCGTTGCACAGAAGAATTGACAACTGAAGAACTCTGATCTGCCTCACTGGTAGGGTTGGTTATTAAGAGACCCTGAAGGGGTGTTGGAGAGAAGACTCTGTCCTGGCTGCGGGTCGGTCGGGAGGAGAAGTAGAAGTGGCATAGCCTTTTCATTTTATCAAAAACGTCACCTCGGTCGAGAGGTGGGGTTTGGGAAGTTGCGTCAGGCTCCAAAATTTATGTCCAAATATGGATATAGGATTTTGTTGCAAACTTTTCGGAGGTGGGGTTTTTAGATAAATATGATAAATATGATAAAGGATCTATGGCAGTAAAAGATTTCAAGATTCCGCTAGGGTTAGTCAGAGGTTGTGAGCGATAAGAATTTATAAATAACATGGGAAAGCATGAGTTTCCGAAGTTCAAAGGCTAGTAATATCATATAACAGCATGAAAGATTGTCTGGTCGGTCCATCTTCAAAGAAAATTATTGCTCCGAACGGGAAGTTATTTAAGGTTATTTGGAGAGGAGATATATGGCCAAAATGACTCAGCGGATCTTTTCCGACGGAAATAGAGGAAACTCCGGTGATTAAAGCAGAGAGAAAAAGAAAGAGAAATCTGTGTGTGTGACGTCACTGTTCTCGGAGAGTCGCGGAATATGAACATTTGGTCGTATAATATAAAATGCAATCCGCATCCTACTTGACAACAAATTCAAAGTATGCGGAGTCCGCAGGATGTAACAATACATTCGAAGATATTATAATAGGCAAATAAATTACCTTTTTACTAGACTGCATATTTATTAATGCACTGTATATCATTTTAAATATAACATTGTTCTGAGGATTTTCTCATTCAGCGCGGCGAAACAGACGTATTTTATGAATTTTTTTCGCACAAACAGAAGATTTCACGGATGTAATTGTTTTTGAGGATTGTTTAATACTGTTTGAAGAGTATTTGTTAATTCAGAGGATATTGTAATGAAAACAAGAAGGTTTCATTTCGTGACTTCTTGACTTTGTTATAATACTTTTATAATATTTTATTCTACATCTTTGTACAACTTAAAATTATTCTTCAAATATTATTAAACAATTCCTAACAACAATCAAATCTTTGAACCTGTCCGCCTCAGCAAAACAATTAATGAAATATATTTCATTTTCTCGGCGAATATTATTAATATTATTATTATAAACAATAATATTATTAATAATAAAATAATATTCATAATAATTTCGGCACGCCGAATAGGAAAAACTTCTCAGTATCGTCATAGTCGCGTCCCTGACTTAGATTATAGCTAAGAAAGAATCAGCCTAATTCGCGTCGCCGAGCGAACACGAGAGCGAGAAAGAGGGAAAGATATTCTCTCTCTTGCTCGGCGCGCCGACGATTGCCGAGCGCGTGGCCGACACAGATAGACCGAGCCGGCTGTGTGTGCGTGCGTGGTGGGGGAAATTCGTTGGCAAGCCCGTCACCAATTTTCCATCATTGCCGTGCGGCTGAAAGTGGACGTAGCACGGACTCGCACCAAGTGGAGACTTTACCGGCGCGCCAGAAAATGGATGCAGCAAATAGTTCCCGGCTAAAAATGGATGCAGATGGCGGTATCAAACAGTCGCGAAAAAGCGCCTCAAGCAAAACGCGGCCGTGGTTTCTTTCTGGTGAAAGCTATGGTCTGTTCTTTTTAGCTGCACTGCAGAACTGGTGCAATAAGTTAGAATGAGACAAATATATTTTTTCTCACTTTAACTTATCGCACCAGTTCAGTAGTGCAGCTAAAAAGAACAAACCACTAGATTTCTCAAAGATACGAAACAGTCTCTATAAACAATCTCAACTTACGTTGTAAACAGGATTTAAACTTGGGAATGGTGTATAGGGACACCTATTTTCCCCCGGAGCCAATATAGAAGAAGAGGAAGACACCTACTTTCCCCTGGAGCCAGTTTAGAAGATTTCACATTAATTATGACAGATTTCCTAACCTGTCATACTTATTATCTTTAACAATTTGTTTCTCGCTTTGTAGAGTCGAGTGACGATTTTAACTTTCAGATTCGGCTTCTACACGTCAAAATATACGAGATAGGTGAGTTTTAGCGAAATCTAAGGTGGTGTCAGACTTCTAAATAATTACCTGATTTTCGAATGTTGAGTAAAAAGTGAAATGGAATATTAAAAACTAGATATCGAAAGGGAGAAAGGTAGAAATAGATAGAAAGTGTGATACTATATTCTTAGAAATACTTGTAAAAGAAAGAGAGAGGACAGTGTTTTAACATGTTAACGTAATCTAATATTTAACGTGTAAATACAATCTACATATGTACATTATTAAATATATTTGTATTATTAATTATATATTATTTGGATTTTTAAATAAATAATAAAATTTTAATATCCTTTATTAATCGAAACTCTACTTCCCACTGCTTTAAGCGGAACATTTACAGGTGTAAACATCTGATGAAGTGAGAGCCAAATATGGATTTCCAAAATCGTCCAGGCGGCAAAACCGGTGGCGGTGGCGTTGCCTCCTGGTCGGAAAGCAATCGCGATCGCCGAGAGAGATTACGTCAACTCGCTCTGGAGACCATTGATTTGAATAAAGACCCATACTTTATGAAGAATCATTTAGGCTCATACGAGTGCAAACTATGTCTCACTTTGCACAACAACGAAGGCAGTTACCTGGCGCATACTCAGGGTAAAAAGCATCAGGCCAATCTAGCCAGACGAGCCGCGAAAGAAGCAAAAGAAGCACCTCAAACTTTGGCACCAGAGAAACCTAGAGTGGAGCCAAAAAAATTTGTAAAAATTGGTCGCCCTGGTTATAGAGTCACTAAGCAGCGTGACCCGGAATCTGGTCAGCAAAGTTTGTTGTTCCAAGTAGATTACCCAGAAGTAGCTGACAATGTAATCCCACGACATAGGTTTATGTCAGCTTATGAACAGAGAGTTGAGCCACCAGATCGTAAGTGGCAATACCTGCTATTTGCTGCTGAACCATATGAAACTATTGCTTTTAAGGTGAGAAAATATTTTTGCCTTCATATTTATAATAGTAATGTCTTGAATCTTCAAATATAGTTACATTGACAGATCACTTAATGTGTACAACTTTGAGATTTTTTTATCATATGCAAAGTGATCTACTCTAAATATTCAAAATATCTTGGAAGAAATGCTTGCTTGAAAAGATACTATATTTTGTATATATTTTTGCTCTAAATGATATTTCATTTTCATTGCTCTTCTCTCTTTCTCTCTCATTTCTTCAAAATATAAGCCTTTTATTTTATCAACTTTTGTTTAACAACTTGTAGGTGCCCAGTAGAGAAGTAGAGAAAGCAGAAGGCAAATTCTGGACTCATTGGAACAAAGATACAAAACAGTTTTTCTTACAATTTGCATTTAAGAATGAGAAACCTGTGGGTAAAGTACCACCACCACCACCAGTCCCTTTGATACGACCAGGACTAGGTCCAATGGTGCCTGTTCCGCCGCCTCCGCCTAGACCACCAATGTTCAATCCAGTGCCACCACCACCAGCTCTATTGGCTACTGGAATGCAAATACCGCCACCACCACCGCATTTAGCATAAGACTCAAAAGGATAAGTTTGATGTATAAAATATAATTTATCCATAACAGCGATAATTATTCGTAGTTGAAATGTTATAGAGTATGATTCAAGACAAAAAAATGTAATATGTTGAAAAAAAATATTTATTTTTTTTTTTTAAACATCTTTCATCTTCGCGATTCCATATGTACTCCCAAATGTTGGTATTCTGAAACCAAAGAAAAATACATAAAAATTTCGATTGCATAAATATTTTCAAGTACTTTCTAACAAGTTTTTATCAGCATGAAACAATCCACATGAATAGACTGATTAATCTATTCTTAGTGTTGTACGCACTTCTCGGTCCGCCCGTTTCACTCTCATCATGTACAAAATCATAGGATAAGATTTTTAATTATCTAAAACGAAAAATATTAAATACTTACCCAGTATTTACGCACATAGAATACATGCGCCACCGACTGCCTTAATTTTATCTTCTGCTAATTTGCTGAAAAATTTAGCTTTGACAATAACAGGTTGTTTTGGTAAACGGCCTTTTCCCAGAAGTTTATAATATCCCTGGGGGAAAAAAAATCAGCACAACTGGTAAATTTTTCACACCACCCAAATGCAGGCACATGATTTATTACGACAATTGAAGTAGAGTACTGAAAGAAAAGCCATAACACATGTAACTTACTGCTTTTACAAGATCGATGACTGGTGCTTTGCCTTCCACGTCCTTATATTTTAATCTGGTCTGTTCTGAGACCAAAGTCCATAACTTGTCCAAATTTAATGTAGGACACCATTTAGTATTACGTCTTAAATGGTAATTCCTCATTCCCAACTAGATTTAAAATAAAAAATATTAGAACAATGACATCTCTCATATAAATAATACATTTTATGTGTGTTCAGACGATAATAGGTATGTTCAATGTAATCCAGTTCGCCAGTGAATATTTGATTCTCATCATTTAATATTTTTTATATTATACTTATATCATTATATTATATTTATATCATTTTTTATAATATATGTACAATGAGAAGAGTCTTATGTATAATAGGAAAAGTTCCTTATAGCTGCATTTTCTGAAGCTCTACTAGATATACAAAGTGTCCCATTTTAAAGGACCCACTCAAATCTCAGATCTCAGAAACACTGCGTTAAATCGAAAATTGCTTAAGACAAAAGTTGTTTAGCTTGAAGGGGGACATAGGACAATGATAACATTTTGTTTATAGATGGCTCCATTTTCGAGATATTTACTGATTATCAATTTTCTTAAATGGAAATCCAAATGTTTTATTATATCATCTTTTTCTACCAATTAATTTGAACAACTTTTGTCTGAAATATACTTTTTTTATTTGCTTAATATATCTTGAGATATTTAAGGAAAATTTGGTAACTTTTCCAACATTTATCTTATGATATCTCGCTAACTATTTGTTGAAAGAAAAAATAGTATTAGACTTTTTTACTTTATTTACTATCAAGAATATACTATAATAGTGCCCTAACTTTTATTAATTTAATAATTTCGAAATTTCCAAAGGTCGATAAGTTAATTAAAATTAGGGCACTATTATAGTAATATATTTTTGATAGTAAATAAAGTAAAAAGGTCTGATACTATTTTTTCTTTCGACGAATAGTTAGTGAGATATCATAAGGTAAATGTTGGAAAAGTTGCCAAGTTTTCCTTAAATATCTCAAAATATATTAAGCAAATAGAAGAATGTTTCAGACAAAAGTTGTTTAAATTAATTGGTAGAAAAAGATGATATAATAAAAAACTAGGATTTCCATTTAAGAAAATTGATAATCAGTGTATATCTCGAAAGTGGTGCCACCTATAAACAAAATATCATTGTCCTATGTCCTCCTTCAAGCTAAATAACTTTTGTCTTAAGCATTTTTCGATTTAATGCAGTGTTTGAGATATTTGAATGGGTCCTTTAAAATAAGACACTGTATATTAAATATACATCTTTTTTCATTCTTCAATATATATTTAGAAATATTTAATTTTTGTTTGCTATTCAATAAATATATATTTCCATTTAAAACATATAACTTGGACAGTGCAACTACAAAAAGAAAAAGAAACCTATAAAGACACATGCAGTTCCTACAGAAATATATAGCAATGCTTTTCATAAAAGCTATTACCTTCCCAAAGTAACCAGGATGATATTTATCGAAGTTTATCCGGTGATGGTGCATACCACCAGCATTACCGCGACCACCGGGATGCTTTCTGTGCTTCCCTGAAAAATATAATATCACAATATAGTGAATTTCCAACTTATGCATGCAGTAGAGAAAAAAATTTTATATCTGTACTAGAGAAGTATTTTGGAACAATATTAATATAAAATTGGTATTAATATAAAAATAAGTACGGAAACTACACGAATTATATTGATCTTATAATTGTTTAATTCAAACTCCAAGACACTCTATTAAAAATTAAATTTTGGAAAGAAGCCATGTGTGTATGGTCAATAGAGTTATAACCTAATCTTTACTCACCGATACGACCATGACCGTGGCTCACGTGTCCACGCAGCTTCCTAGTTTTTTTCTTGTGAGTCGACTTCGAAGAAAAGAAAACATAGAATTAATACACATACAAAGAAAATCAAAATAGTATACATAATGGAATTATTTTTTGAATGAGTTCAAAAGATAAACATGAGATTATGCTCAAACATCACAATAGGAAGATCTCGTAACATATTTCATATGATGCAAACATGAAATAATTATAAAAATTTGTTCGCCATAATCTTAACCGCGAGGTTACGGTGAATAAATTTTAAACACAACGATGATTTCTTTGATTTTACCGGATATTTGCAGAGATACTACAGAACAAAGTTACTCACCATGCCGAAGACGTGACAGAAAAGAATTTCTTAATGGTTGTGCTGGGTAGTGCCAGGGGGTTCAAACTCGTCTCTTGTGAGAAAGGGAACGCTATTTTCAGCCGCCTGGAGCACCAGCCCGGAAGTCAGGGTAAAGTCACTAGATATATAAAGTACCGCAATTCATAAAACCCATGCTTTAGGCCCAGTTCCACAAAATCAAGTTTAAACCGTGATTATCTAAACTAACGTTACATTTAACGGCATGATTAAACTTATATCGCGTTCCACATCATGTTTTTAACTGTAGTTTACTTAAACCTGAAGACCCATATTCAGAACGTGCTTATAACTATGTTAGTGCGCTGTTAACCAATCAGGAGGCATATTGCGTGGCTTTCCATTGGTTTCATTGGTTAACAGCGCGCTAACATAGTTATAAGCACGTTCTGAATATGGGCCTAATAGTCTGTATGAAGAAACTAGAGATGTCGATATCGAAAAAAAATGTCGCATTTGAATATATTCGTCAAATTTAAAAGTACTCATATCGATATCGAATAAGCAGTCAAAATATCGAATAAATGTCGAATAATTCGGTAGCCAATAAGAACCCAGCAAACACAATAAGCCTGTTCGTTTTGTCTGCATTGCTGAACTGATGCATTAAGTTAAAGTGAGACAAACATAGGTTTTCTCACTTCAACTTGTTGCACCAGTTCAACAGTGCAGACGAAACGAACAGGCCTAATATTACATGTAACGTGCATGTTAGTTGTAATTTTCTACTCAACAATATAACTGTTATTGTTGAGTAGGAAATTACTATTAAGGGTGCGTTCGGAAACAACACTCGTGTGCACACGAGTGCACACCAGCCGTTCGGAAACATAGCGTTTTTCATTGGGAAAATGAGTGCGCACTCAATGCGCACTAGTCGTGGACGATGTGTTTCATTGGGAATTTCAGTGCACATTAAAATCATGCGTCGTGTTTCATTGGAAAATGTAATGTCGAGTTTTTGCACTTTCGTGCACAAATTCGGCACGAGCTCGGAGAGATGGTGTCGGTTGAGTGCAAAACATGGCGGCGCAGAACAGAGATGTTTTGAATGAACAAACGTATGTGATAATTTCGGATTTCCTTTCATCTTCATCCAGCAGTGATGAAGATGAGTATTTTCTTCGAAATCCGAGGCGAATTGTTCCTAAAATGAAAAACTTTTTGCAAATAGTATATCAATATTCCGATCACGACGTAAGTTTATTGTTATAATTTAGCTTGTGAAAATAAAAGTAGAAAGTAATTTTTATTTTTGTTGTAGTTCAAATCCCAGTTTCGAGGGCAACAGCATATGATATTATAAATAATTTCGAAAATTCGACGTTCTATTCTGGTGATACAAGCCACGGAGGTATTAAACCGTCCTCTGCTGAATCACACGTTTTATCTTTTTTGTGGTAAGTTTTACATATACATGTATAGTTTTTAATTCATCCACTACTCATATTATATATATATATATATATAATATTAAAAAGATTTCAAAAAATATTACTTTGTATAGGTTTGCAGGAAATAAAGTGTGCTTAAGAGATGTTGCACAAAGATTTGGAGTATGCGCTACAACGATTTTTCGACAAAATAAAAGAATGATGGATTTTCTATGCGATATAGCTAGAAACGTCATCAAATTTTCTGACAAAGAAAATACTGCAAACGAATTCCTTCAAGTATGTATATTTAATTAATGTATTTTAATGAAGCTAAAGCTAGCAGCCGATTCATAGCTGAATTATGAAAGCAGTAGTTTTTAATTATTATTTAATAAATGTCAATTTCTTGTTAATTAATTATTTAATGCTAAAAATTTTTCTATTATTCTTTAGTTCTAAACAGTGCTTATGCGAATTTGCTACTAGTTTCAGCTTTATTGTATTTTATGTATGTTTTTCTAATGAGTTATTTAATGTATATGTATATAAAATTGAAGATTGCAGGATTTCCGAAAGTTCTTGGCTGTATTGATGGGACTTTCATTAAAGTCCGAACGCCAGCCCACAAAATAAAATCGACATATGTAAATAGACATGACATCCCTTCGATAACATTGCAGGGCATATGTGATGCTCGAAAGAGATTTATAGATACATTTACAGGAATCCCGTCGAAAATTCACGATGCGCGCGTACTCAAATTATCAGATATATGCGACGAGTTGCTAGGAATATGTGAAGGCGGAAAATATCACATCCTAGGCGATGGAGCGTATCCAATAAGAAAATGGCTTATTATACCATTTAAAGACTACGGAAATCTGTCTGCAAAGGATAAACAATTTAATAAAATGCTGTCTGCGACTCGAGTATTGATCTAGAATGCGTTTGGACTGTTGAAAGGTCGTTTTCGACAATTAATCGAAGTAGATCTACATACTGTTGATAAAATATCAAAATTTATTACATCATGTTGCGTTTTGCATAACTTATGCATAGACAACAACGATAACTTTGATGTCGATATTGTTATAGAAAACAATGAAGATTATAATAATGAAGGCAAAGGTCAACAAGAAGCTCTATTACGAAGATTAGGGGAAGTAAAAAGAAACCAATTGATGAATGTACTTTTTCCATGAAATAAAAATCAATACAATATGAAATTATCAAACGTTTATTTGTCCTGTGGCAAATAAGTACATACTTTCCAATAAAAAACAAAACGTATAAAAACAAAGCATATTTTTTTTATAACACGTACATATTGATTATTTTTTCAAAATTCATATATTATATCTCTTATTTATTTCATAAACATGTAATTTTTTAACATACACGCTTTTTCAAAAAGTTTGATTGTAAAATTAAATAACACTGTTTTAAAATTAAATAACACAATAAGTTTACTTTATACTGGTTCATACTTAATAGTCTGAGCAGTACTATATCTTTCGTAAAGTGCGAAAATCAAAATATGCATACGCTAATATTAAAAACCAGTAATATTAAAAACAAAGACATACATTAGTAAACGTACAAAATTATAAGAGAAAAAAAAATAATTAAAATTATATATCACATCCAACGTTTTAGTTAGGAACTTTCATATTAACATATGGTTCAGGCTGATTTTACATTAGTCTTTCTTTGGTTTTTTTTAATACTTGCTTGTTTCTGTATCACCTTACTTTAGTTCCCGCTACTTTTGTTTGGCGAACAACTCCCGTATTAAATTCAACTTTTCTTGGTGACGTCTTTCTTTTGCCGCTTCTTTATTTTTCCAGTATTCCATCCTTTTATCAATATCACTTGGTTTCGATTTTTTTGTCTTCGGTGGTGAGCTATCAGTAGAATGTGTAGAGGCACTATCATTGCAGATTTCTTCCGACATTCTTGTATTCAATTTAGGATATTTAACGCTCCTTGCATTTCGCAACACCTCGGGCTCAATACTATCGTCCGAATGAGCAATTTTACGCAATTCTTCTTCGAATGGTACATCCTCTCTAGAGCTGCCTGATTTAGAGTTGTTCTCAACTGCTTTTTTTTTCCTTTTGAGAACGGTTTTATACCGATTTTCAACTTGAAGAGGAGTTTTTAATACGTCCAACATCGTCAGCATATCTTTTGAAATTTGCGCCCACATCAATTTTTTAGTTTTGAATTTTTTCATGGGACCAATATCCGACATATATGTTTCATATTTATCGAGAAGAAACGGTGTTCCTGAATTGCTCCAGTAATCTGAAAATCACGTTGTTTAATGATTAATACAATAGTCTACATTATAGCACCAGTAAACCTATTAGTAGGTATTACAATAATGTAAAAATTTTGTGAAGTCAAAGATTTTAAAAAATCTTTTATATTTTATATTACATTTTTCATATTATATTTATTTCATTTATATTATATTTATATATATTCTATTATACATATATATTGTATGTATTTTATTTGTTAATAATATATTTAGATTATATTTATTAACGTATCATTCTTCGTTTCGTATCGTATTAATTTTCTGCTCGAATATAACAAATACCATATTTTATAGTACATTATCATAGTGCTATGAATAGTCGTAAATGCTTTATTAAAACAGATTTACCGCTACTCTTCTTTCCTTTTTTATCGTACTCCTGCGATTGTGATTCATTCTGATCATACTCCTGTGATTCAAAGGATTCAAACATGAGTGCTTCATTTTCTTTATTATACTCCGATAGCTGATCTTCATTGCTGCGATTATCACCATGACTATTCGCGTGGAATATCAATTGTTCTCTGTAATACAAAATATATTGACATTTTACACTGCCATATACAGGGTGAGTAAGGATCCTCTGCAACAAACTTAGACAGATTGTTTGGAAAGTCATTCTGATTAAAAAATGTCATATGAACATAGATCCTATTCTTAATATTTACAGACCTCAAATGTTCGACAGAATTTGACAATCACTGCTACGATGGTGTAATAAAAGTAATCAGATTCAGAATAAACACTTTGAACAACTCCTGTAAACTGTCCGCAAGGATACTTGAAGAAATAAATGCATAATTCATTTCATAACTGTACATGTCACCTAAATTTTACAACTTCTGCAACTATGTAAATATTAAGAATAGGACCTGTGTTCATATAACATTTTTTACTTAGAATGACCTTCCAAACAAGTTGTCAAAGTTCGTTGCAGAGGTCCTCTGACTTACCCTTTATTTTTTTTTTTTTTTTTCTGTTGTGTACATTTGAATTCTGTAGAACTTTGATTCTTTGAAGAAATAATGAAAAACAAGATTGCTTGGAATTAATATATGTATGTAAGAAACTGAAGAGTTCCTGTTTACCCTAAAGTAAACTTACTTATTTTTTTAAAGTAAACTTGTAAAATAAAATGGTAATTATATTTTATAAAATAAACTTTGCTCTTAACTTCTTAATGTGCTTTTTCGGAAGATTTTGATAGCTTGCAATTAATACATCTCAAAAAAATTTTACTTACTCATCTTCAATCACTCGAGATATTTCTTCAATTTTCTGATTTTCGCTTCCATGTAGAACACACAATCCATTTTTAATCACAAGTTTTATATATTGTATGCTGTAGGTATCGTCATCTGAAATTAATTGACACAAGAATCAATAATATTCAGTTAATATTC